TTAAAACTTCTAGAGGGTCTACTTAGATTCTATTCAAATTTTCCTATTAATTTGATAGTCTAGTGTTCCTTTATTACACTTTTCTAGTTCATTTTAAATAGTTATATGTTTCTTTATTTGATAATTTCAACATATACAATCTCTTGAGAGTCTGATAATAAAATTGTTTTTTTTCTTGATAATTCTCACCAGTGGTGGCTCATTTTCTCATGTTTGGTAATTTTTTTTGTTAGTTTATTTTCTTTGGAAGTCTACTGTGGGAAGTTTTTGAGGTACATAGAAGAAAAAGCATAGAAAATTTGGGACATATAGAAGATGCAAAATAAAATATTTAGGAAGTAATTCAAATTTATCAGTGATCGATGAAGTCAATTTCAACCCAATAAAAGACCAAAGTTTTTCAGACCAAATTTTTAAATGACCTGCATACTATCAATAAATATCTAAAACTTAAGAAAGTGGAAAGCTTGAAAGGATAATAATTTTTTAAAGTTCCCATGGGAATAAACAAGAAAAATAAACCAGAAAATAAACAAGAAAAATACAGACAAAATAAATTACTTTTCATGTATACGTGGGTTTAAATTCTCTTCCTCCAGAGCTTACATTTACCTCAGCTAAATACATGGAGACAGTACTGCTTTTGGCATTTTAAGGTAAATTAAACAAGAATTTCATATTGTTTTACTTTGCATATGTTGGTAGTATAGATTCAGTCCCTAAAACCCAAGTAGGAAGAACTTGTTCTTCGTTTTCTTCCTTCCTTATTTTCTCCCTCCCTCCCTTCTTCCCCCTACTTTCCCTTCCTCTCTCCCTCCCATCCCCCATCCTCCTTCCCTCTGTTTCTCTTTCTTCCCTTATTTCCCTTCTTCTTCTTCTTTTTTTTTCCTTCTCCACCTAAGTTCAGGCTGATACACATATTCCTCTGGAAGGTATTCTTTTTTGCTAGTGACAGAAAAGATGCCTTTTGTGGTGTCAGCATTTTTCCAAGAGGCCTCTCTTCCATCCTGTTACCCTGCACACTACCTAGTTTTCTTCCTCATTGTTCATATGGGGGGTCTTTTATTATCTACACTGAAGGTTCCAGGTATGTGCAGAGGAAACATTGGCCTTCACCTGCTTATATCTCTGAGTTCATCTAGATTTATGTTTTCTTGTCACTTCTAGACTCTAAGGAATTGTCTTATTTTGTTAGCTCTCTCAGTGCATTATCTAGAAATTTCTTTAATTTTTTTTCCTCAACAGTTTTAAGAGTGCTAAACAGGGAAAAAAAATCATCTGAGTATCCAACCTTCCATATTGCTGAAAAGAGAATCTTCTATACTTTTAAAGACATCATTACCTGATCTGGAGACTAAGTATGTATTGCAGAAATATACCATAAATATTTACATCTGCAATTTAGGAATTGCTCACTGGAGGGGGACAAGAATCAGAGGTATCTGTCAACTCAGCCATTAAAATATTCTGGTGGAGAAAGGTGACAACTTTGAGATATAGAGCCTATTAATGATTAAAACAAGAATAAATTTTCCACATCTGAGCTTGTCTTTTCTCTTTCTGAGCAAAACTTCTTTGCTTAAGTGCAAAGTGAGGTAATATTGGTTTTGTAATATCCTCAAATGGATGTGATTAACCCAGTCCTTTTTGAAGAAAATTTCTAGGAATTTGTATTGCTTATGTCCTGCTCTCTCTGTTTCTCTTCCAGGAAAACTGGGATCACATACAGTCATACTGAAATGCAATTATTGAAGGCAGCCAGTAAAATTATTATTTGGCCTTTCAAGCTGAGACAAGCAGCCCAGATATTTCTTCTTTGCTTATTACTTCATTATTAGTGAAGTTTCTAATGGTGAAGCCAAAGGTGAAGACCAAGAAATTTTCCACTCTATGTCTATAATGCATTCAAGAATAGTGTTGAAAATAATAACTGAAAACACTCAATCCTGCCCAAGAAAATTTTTAAGAGAGGAAAACAGATTACACTCTTAGAAGTAAAGAAATTAGGATGAATTATATATGCTTCTAAGGTACTTCAGAGATCTGGAAGAAATAACACCTGTGTGAACTATTTTTTTTTAGGTCATAAATGAAACATGTAATGCAGAACCATTTGTCATGGGCTTCGCAGATACCACTTCTAGAAAGCTGGTCCCTCTTGCTATGACTGATGGGCCCCTGGGGAAACTGGACTACATGAGCTGGGGATGTCCTCCAGTTATTTCTCAAACTGCATTGATAGGGAATTAAAATCAGTCAAAGGAAAATATTTTGAAGCAAACTGCTACATAATTAATCCCCCTAGCTTCCAAGGGGATATTGTAAAAAAAGCTATTGCTGATCAAAGGACTATTTAATTGCTCTCCAAAGCTTTTAAAAAGTTTGTATTTTACAAAATTCTTTCAACTGATCTCTTTGAAAAAGGCTGTGAAATTGCCCCTTAATATAGAAGGGATAGAAAACAATCAACTGTGTTTTTGAGTGATACTCTGAAACTTAGTTTTCTTTTCTGTGTGGTATGTGTGTGTGTGTGTGTGTGTGTGTGTGTGTGTGTGTGTGTGTGTGTGATATTGGAGGAGAGGGAGTTAGATTAAAAGACCTGTAATCCTACTTCTCAAACTTTAATGACCATATGAACCACAGATCCATATGCAAATTCTGATTCAGCTTGTCTGGATGACTATAGGTCTGCATTTCTAAAATTCTTCTAAGAGGTACCCTGTCTGCTGGCCCAGGAACCATGCTTGGTCTAAGTTGAATCTCTGACCCTTCCTGACCTCATGATGACATTTTTTTTAATAGCAACTATGCTTCATATTGATGATTTCTAAGTGTAGCTCTTCATACCATAAAATTTCCTTAAGACCACCTTTGGAGAGAAATCCTCAGGGTAAATACAGGACTTAACTACCACATAAAATGAATAGAGCCAGATCTGGGTAGCTTAGGCAGAGTTAAATGGTGGGCATTTGCTGGGCATAAGTCTGAGAAGCTGCAGAGAGGATTTACTGACAGACTGGATATGAGGTGTGAGAAGAAATAAAAGTCAGACCTAATATCAAAAACTCTGGCCTGATGGATGGCTTGATGGAGTTCCCATTTACTGAGCAGAGACGATTGTGGGAAGAGCCCATTTGGGTGGCTAGGTGGGAGCATCAAGAGTCAAATTTGCGTGTTACAGCTTTAAAATACTATTTCACATCCAGAGGGCCATGATCAGTAGGCTATCAGGATCTGGAGGCAGCAGGAAAGCCTAATGCTGAAGATGAAATTTGGCATCCTCACCATTACAGATGGTATTTACATTTGTTAATTCACTCAAAGATCACAGTGATCCTATGGATTTGGCATTACCATTATTTTCATTTCAGAGTAGGGGTGATTGAGGAGGATAAAGGCTAGGTCACTACTTCAAGGTCACACAATTATTAAGTGCAATGCTTTGCCTCCAGAGCAAGGATGCACCAAGGACCTAATATCCAGTAGTGAGAAGGACATCCGTGATGTTGGTGGGAAGAGCATCAGGGGAAGAATGAAGGCACTTGGACTGAGTGGATGACCAGACTTGAAGCCTGAACATGCGCGTCTGGGTCTATATAGAAGTCTCTGGTGAGTTAGTTGCTCAGATACTGAATGCTGGGGTTACTAACCAAATTATATTGCTGGACCTGCAATGCCAGATGGACTGGGGCTAGGCTGATCCTGCAGTCGGTACTGCCTGCTGTGAGGTTCCCTTGGCAGCCAACACTCTCTAATGTGTCTCTCTAATGGCACTGCTAAGTGCTCAACCAATGTTTGCATCCATCTAAAGTAGTGTTTTCCCCATGTAATGCTAAAGAATCCTCACCCTAGCAGTGAGCTTTAGCAGATGTGTGTGGGCTTGGCAAGCCCAGGGTGAGTTCTGATGCTTATTTAGGAAGGAGAGTCATGGGGGTAGCTAAGCACATTGTGCTTTATGGGACCCACACAGACACAGTCCTAACTAGAGAAGAGACATAAATGAATTCCCAGAGCTAAGGCTGTGAAAGCAATATCTCCTAAGATGCTGCTGCCAAAGCAGCTAGGCAGTATTGATTGTAAAACTTCTGCTTGCAGACTAGAAAAGGCGGGGTGACTACTCATGTGGAACATCTACCCAAGGCAACACAGTTCCATTCTCAGCAGACAGGGACTGAAGCCTGGAGGAGCTCACTCTTCCATAAAAATGCTCTCAACTCAACCCAGGTCAGGACCTGTAGCCTCCCTAGATTGTGAGCAACCTGAGGACAGGTTTTATGACTTCTGTCTTTTTGCTGGTAATTATAAATGCTTCATAAACATTTTTCAATAAATGAGTGAAGGCTTAATGGTAGTGGATGTCAAAAATGGCTTGCAGAGAATGTATCTGTAAGGGTCTGGCTGTGTGTCTTTAATCTTTGTTTAAGAGATGTTTTTTTCATGATTTTAATGAAAAATACTATGTATGTGGCATTTAATGAATGTTTTAGAAATTATTGTAACAAGGGCTTAAGCTATTAGAGGATCACATAATATTGATTAAGAATGTTTGGATTGTATGATTCATATTTTTAGTTTTAGTCATCTCTGCTTGGTAGCAGCTGTGTGTGAGGAGCAAGCTCCCCTCACTGATGCCTCTCCCTCACCTGTTTCAGGTACTTTGGATGTAGTGCAAAATAGTTGCTCTGTAGTATAGTTTTCTAATTGAATCTATGACAGGGGAGGAAATAACACAGTCACAGAAAGGTCTGGAAGTGACTCCTGAGCCTCACTATAGGTAAGCCCCTAAGGTAGGAGAATTCAAGGAGAGGTCAGAACCAAGTGTCTGAAATTGACCAGGAACTATGCCCCGTTTCCTTCCAGAATACTGATATTAGATTTTCCAGATTGGACTCTAGATCTAGCAGAGAAAGAGAGGGGTCTGAGAATGGACTCTACCTGAATCCTGACTAATGTGTTCCCATTTGTGTTCCCATTTGTGCTGGGACAGTTATGTCACTTACCACTGTTGCTGCGTTTCCTTAGGTCATACCCGTCTCCTGGCCCATCGGTTTCTTCAGGAACCTCCACAAGGTCTGAAGTCTTGAAGGAAAGAGGAAACAGCACAGAATGAGCAATGTTATATCAGTGGGCCAATTGAGCAGTGGTTTTCATGTCAGTAGAAAAGCTAAGGTGGAATTTGCACAATGCCTGGGAAAATAATTATTGGTGTTTTATTCTGATGGCTAACTTCAGGAAGGCTGTGTGTCCCCTCCTGGTCCTCATGTGCCTCCCTTCAGCTCAGGCTTGGCCTTGGTAGGTGCCCAATGAATGCTGGATGAGCTTCTTCCCAGGAAGAGACAACAGAGAGAAATCAGAATTCCTGCCCATATCCTGTCACTTAAAAAAAATCTCAATGAAACTATAACTCTTTGTGTGGGTGAGCTTTAAATACTAATTATAGAGAACCAGATGCACTATTGAAGGATGACTACTTAGGTAGGAATAAAGTGCTATTTACATTGCTGCCAAAATCAATTATTTTTGTAATGTTTATTCTTCCTTTTTTTAAAGAAGAGAAGGCATAGTTATTCTTCCATCTAGGTTTCAGAAATAATAAAGACAGCAACAATGGCATTCCAATTAGTTAATGGTTCTTGATTACTTACCATGTGCTGTTTTTAAGTATTTTGCATGTATCATCTCATTTATTCTTTACAATAATCCTATGAGAGATTCAGGTAGAAATCTGAAACCCAGAAACAGTGATTTTCCTGGAGGTCTCACAACTAATAAATAGTGGGAGGTGGGGTAGTGGGTCCTAGAATAGCCTCCAGAGCTCAGCTCTGAAGCACTGTGCTCCATCCAATGATATGTTGGCTGCATGGGCTGGTGAGAGCCTTCAGGGTTATCACATTGTCATATCAGACTGGTCATGGCCATGGGAACTGGCACATGTTACAATTCAGGATCAACTCTAACCTGGTTGGTCAAACATTCACCAGCACACCACTTATGGCCACTTTCACATGATGGGATATCCTAGCTCCTGTCTACCTCTTCCAAGAGGATGAGAAAAGTCACATTCTAAAAAATAATTTGTTTACATGTTATTGGAGTGGAACAAGATAAGTTCACCTTCCTACTTTCCTCATCAGCTCTAGAGCACTTGAGAACCATCCTCCAAGACAGATTTTTTTTTTTTTTGGTACCAGAGATGGAACACAGGAATGCTTATCTCCTGAGCCACATCTGCAACTCTTTTTATTTTTTATTTTGAGACAGGGTCTTGCTAAGTTGCTTAGGCCTCACTCAAGACAGATTTTTGTTACAGTTTAGCTTGAAGATTTTTTTTTTTCCAGACAGTTTACTTTCATGACACATCAGAAGGAAACAAAAGAAAACACAAGGGGGAAAAAGAAACCTAACAACCCAGCACAAGGTCCTCATCATTCATACCCTGCTCTTTTTGAGGCTTATGATTTCTACACACAAATGCTTTACAGGGAATTTCATTTATTTCAATTTAATCTTATGAAACTGAGATTATTCACAAACTGACCAGAATGTGTTTTTTAAAGTTACTTCAAAAAAACCCAAAGCCTCCCCAAAGCCAACAGGCTTTTTATATTCTAGAACATTCTTTGAAAACATAACGATTTGGAAAACCATCAGGCAGTGACTTCTCGACAATGTAGAACAAATGCCTCCTCAGCCTTGGAAGAAAATAAACCTGCAGAACAAAGCTTTGCTATGTGGGAATGAGTTAGCTTTAGGACATAACAGCATTAAAGAATGGCAAAGGGGCTGAAGTTCATTATCACTTGACCCTGCGGGAAGGAAGCAAAATCATTTTAAAGTACCAATCAATTGTCTCTGTTTTCTTCTACAGAGGCAAGTTGGTCTCTGGGAAAAGAGTGAGGTGACAGATACTCAAGTACAATTTGATTTTTCTTTGTCTCCCTGTGGTTTTCAGAACAATGCCTCCCATAAGCAAAACTCCAACAAATATTTACTGATGGAATCAGTACTAGAATAACTGGACAGTGAGGAATGACACCCTATTGACACAATCAGAAACTGTGCATTTTTGCTCCTAAAATCAGTTTACAGGGTCCAGATGTTGTTAGAAACAAAGGTATTTTAGAGATAAAAGTGAACTGAGCATCCTTCCAGTTATTCCTCTGATGGTTTTGCTGCTTCTTAGAGTTAGCCAAAAATGAAGGCTAAAATGTTCACTGCGAACTATGGAATGTGTCTCAGGATGTCTCTTTGTCCTATGATCAGCAAAGCTAAGAACTGCAGGAGCAGTCAGCCACCTACTCTTTATATGGATAGTTCAAGGTCATGTCTGGGGAGCCTCTTCTCCACCCTTGCCTCACCCTGGCTTTCTGTTTACCTTTTCTCGAATGCGGGTCTCATATAAGAGTGGGAAATGCTTATGTTGGAGAGGAATGAGGATATATTGGTTCTCATCAGAGACGTGAGAGAATGCAAGTCTGGTCAAAATGCAGGTCAAAGTGGAGAGAAGTCTCTCTTCGCTCTGGTTAGTTTTATTTGGGCTTTTCTTTTGGCTTGCTAAGTGGTAGCTACAAAAACTTGTAAGGAACAATGGGTGAAGGGGTACAGGCTGCAAACCAGCTCTATGTGGCTCTGGGGGAAGCCACTCATTGGCAGTGGTCTTTCTCATTCCCTTGAGAAAGGTGTGATGTGGTCGATAGGATCTGGCAGAGGGTTATCATCCTTTGATCTTGTTTCCAAGCTTTAGATCCACCCTTCTGGTTGCTGTAAGTGTGTGATTTAAAAGCTGTCCACACAGAGAGCAACTGTGAATAAGACAAAGAAAGAGGAAGGAGCTGGCAGGGCTGATTTCCTTGGAACCAAACTTAAGTACTTAATTCAAATTTACTGCCAGCTTTAGGTCCTTCTTAGAAGTTTAGAGAGTTTGGTGTTTGTTCTTTTTTTTTTTAATACACCATAGATTTAGTGAGAGATTCAGTGAGAATTTGTAATGGACAGCCACTACGTAGATGAATGTTTCTCAAATTTTGGTGGGTGTTGGGATTTTAGTGGGTTTTAGGATCAATCTGGGTTGCTGATAAAACTCACATAGGGTAGAACCTCTCCCTCTGTGTTGTTATTAAGTTCCCCATCGAATTCTGATGCCCACCAAAGTCTGAGAATCACAGATACAAAGTGTTGGAAATAAAATGCAAACAGAGCGCTTGCATTTAAGCAGCTCTGTCTTAGTGGAAGAGGTGATTGGAAAAGCGAGAGGACAATTAAACAAAAAAGCAAAAATTACTAAGCATTATATAAATCAGTTGCTATGGGAGAACAGGGAACAGGGAAGAGGTGCCCAGCCAAAGCAGGAAGCGCTGGGGGATGTTATCTGCAGAGTTAGAGACAACAACGTGTGGGTGACTAGACAGAGCATGGCTTTTCAGAGAGCTGTTCCTGGAGGTTGGCTGTGAGAAATGAAGTGTTATGTGGACCCTGGAAGATTCTGAGGTCTGTCTTCAAGAGTCCCTCATTAATTCTTCTCTATTCTTCAACCATTTCTCAAGTGCTCACTATGTGCTGGAGACCCTGCAAGGTCCTGGTGTAGTGAGGTACATAAGGAAGGAGCCCCTGATGTATAGCCACTTACTATCTAGTTAAGGAAATTGATGCAAAAGAAGATAATTACTGTGTAATCAAGTATATCCAATAAGAAAGGAGATCTTGAAAGCTTGTGGAAGGAATGGCTGGGTTATGCTTGAGGGAGTCTGGGGACTCTACTTTTTATTTGATAGAAATCAAGTTATATCTTAAAGAATTGCAATGGTAGAGGGAAATATTTTCTAAGATGTGATGTCAAGAGCTTAGTGAATTCAGGAAAAAAAAAAAAAGAAAAGCTTTGTATCATGGGAGCTTGCATGTGAGAAGTTAAGTGTTATGTGGAGCCCAAAGGATCCTGGGGCCATCAAGAGACCCTTATTGATTCTTTCTCATTCTTTAACCATTTCTCAAGTGCTCATCTGTATCAGCCATGCTGAAGAGTTTGGGCATTGTCCTTCCGGAAGAAGTGTTTTAATTAGGAAAATTGTGCACGTATTTAAGGGATGATACAACTTGAGATGCTGCTAAGAGTACACTCAAAATGAATAAAGTAGCATAAATATTTCTTTGTTGTAATCTGGGTGAGAGATAATGAGTTTCAAGTCCTGATAGTTGGTGACAGAGAAAGGCACTTAGGATACGTGTTTCTGAGTTCTGCCTCGTGGAACGTAATCACCAATGGAGCACAAGAACAGTGTAGATATGCTCATGTTGCGGTATCTGTAGGACTGGCATTGTGCTTTGGCAAAAAGTTAGGACTGGAAATATCTAAGCTTAGTGATAATGATTAGAAAAGATAAATGTAAAGATCAACCAGGAAGAGCATGTAGAACAAGAAGACCAAGCAAAAGCAGATTCCTGGGAAAAGTCCAAATTAAAGAGCAAGTGGAAGTTGAGTCAGAGAAGATGAGCTGAGCAGAACAGCAGAACCTCCAATGAGTCATGGGTTTCCAACAAAGCCTGGGCGTAGGCCCTGTCAAAGGAGGGCTTTGGAAAATACTCTTTTCAAATCCTCGTGAATGGATGACACCCTTGTTTAACTTCATAACTTAGGTTTAAAGGAAATCCAGCTAAGACTTGGATGCTCAGTGAAAATAAAGCAGCAACCACTTCCATTTATTCAGTGCAAATTATTCCAGGACCTATGCTAGATACTTTATGTATATTATTATATCATAGCAAATACTTTATGTAGTTATTATTATATTATCATTACCTTACCCATGTAGCCATAACAAGTTTCTGTAGAGCCATGCATCACTTAATAACAGGTATATGTTCTGAAAAATGCATTTTGTCATTGTGCAAACATTCTTGAGTGCACTTACACACAGCTAGATGGTATGGCCCATACACACCTAGGCAATATGGCATAGCCTATTGCTTCTAGGCTATAAACCTGACCAACATGTCACTGTACTGAATACTGTAGGCAATTTTAATACCACGATAAGTATTTGTGTCTGTAAACATAGAACAGTAAAAATACTAGGCCATAAGAAGTTTTCAGCTCTGCTATAATCTTATGGGGCCACCACCATACATGTTGTCTGTCATTGACTAAAGTGCATATGATGCATGACTATCATATAAATCCTATTCCTATACATTTTATATATTTTTTCAAAATTACATTTAGCACAATTTTAATTATTCATTCAATAAATGAATTAAAATTATCTTCTAAACTGCCAAATGATAATAATCTCTCTGCAAAGATCATAGGGATTCAGGTATCTTAAACTGTCACAAATTATATCCTCACTGCTTTGAGGCAGTGTCTCCTGAAGCTAAACATTTCCACCTTACTATGAAATCCTTCAGCTTTCATGTGGCATGGTTATTGTAATATCCTGAACACATATATATCCTATGTTTTTATTTTTAATAAAATGGCATAAGGCATATTCAGGTTATATTTTAAAATAATGCCACCACCTTCAACTTTCTCCTCTATTGGTTTGGTTTTCAAAAATTAGTAAATGTGGGCTCTTTATTTGTGTGTGTTAAATTGCAAAAAAAAAAAAAAACGGGGGGAAAAGAAAAACCTCATTAGCATAAATGTTATGCATGATCCAGGAAAAAGATTAAAAATTATTTTATAATTATTTGAGTGAGATAAATCAGAGGAGTTTCTGAAGAACAGAGATTTCAGTGAATTGGTTTCTAGAACGACCATGCAGCATCAGGGACCCACAAACGCATCTACCTGCAGGCTTAATCCTATTCCCATGCCCTGCCTAGAGTGTCAGACTATCTTACGAATAGACCTGCAGCCAGTGAGGGAGCTGCCTCAGCTCAGCCCTGATGATGACTCAGAGGAGTAGACCATTTGGAGGCTCATCTGTGTCCTACCCTAAAGTCCCAGTCCTGCAACCTTATGCAGGCCCTCCTGAATGGCCATGTGCACTGGACAGTCCTTGCCATTTTTTAGGAGGGATGGTGGCTTTCAGCAAGGGCTGGAGAGTTGTATGGCATCTTGGGCCATTTATAGAAAGTATGAATGGGAGAGCCAGAGACAGGGTGGGCACAGAAATACATTAGACCATCAGTTTAGGTCAGATGAAACAAAAGAGGTGTTTGGGAGGGTGAGTGTCCCTTGGAGAGAGGTTCTACTGAGTGACAGGTCAAGCATTTCCAGGGAGGGCTGTTTTTCTGTGAAATCAAGGCACACTCTGTCTTAGAAAGGAGTGAGAAAACGTGAGAAATAGCTATCTCTTTTAACTGGGATAAAGCCAGAAGGAGAAATGCAAACATCCAGACCTTCTGTTTTTGCCCATTGTTTGAGTCAAATATTTCTTTTATTTTTCCTTCCTTTCTCCCTTCCTTTCTTCTTTCTTTTTTTTTTGGGTGGAGGTGGCGGGGATGGAGATTGAACCCAGAGGTGTATTCACACTGAGCTCCATCTCCTGTTTTTTTTTTTTTTTTTTTTAATTTTGAGGTGGGGTCTTACTAAATTGCTTAGAGCCTTGTTAGGCTGCTGAGGCTAGCCTTGACCTTGGGATCCTCCTGCCTCAGCCTCTCCAGTCACTGCAATTATAGATGTGTACCACCATGTCTGACTCAGCCAAATATTTCTTAAGTGTTGACTGATATGCCATCTAATATTGGTGAGAGGATGAAAACAAAAACAAAAGCAAAAAAAAAAAAAAAAAAAAAAACCAAAACCAGTATATGGGAAAAGTCATGAGGCCAAGAGAATGATCTTTGAAAAGTAAAACGTGCCCTGGGCATTGACAACAGAAAGTCAGCCCTTAGTGGCCCAGAGCACTTTGAGTTACCCTTTGGAGGTAGCCTGACTCTCAGAAGAATCATCCTCATGGCACATTCGGGTGAAATCCCTTACACTGCTGCACCTGAGGCTGGCCCTGCCTGAGACACCATGGGTGAACTGAGGGGGGAAGGGGACAATTACAGAGGTCCTGTGAGGCGAATCAGAGCCACTGCCAGAGCTGCCCTTCTTCGTTCTCTGGGCCAGGGAAGTGCCAAAGCGAAGGGTCTCGTAGACAGGGTCCACCTTATTGCCACAGGCTGCAACAGAAGAGAAAGCTTTTCTGAGAAAGCTCACCGGTGAGGGCCCACCCCGCCCACCACACATCACTCCTGGGTTATCATCCTCCGAGAAGTAGCTGACCTGCCAGCCCTGGGGAAGGTCCAGCTTCCCGCACAGACGTGACCTCCACACCACCATGTGCACATTCACCATGGCACCCAGAACTTCCAGCCAGGACTCTGCTCTGAAACTTTCCCTGAGTGATTGGTTTTCCTCTTTCCTGATCCATCCCCAGGACTCCAGAGACCCGTTGGTTTCATTTCCTCCAGAGGGAGGCTCTGCTCACTAAGGCACCTTCTTGAGACACAGTGTTTGCCACAGGGGGCAAGTGTTTTTTTCACAGGGATTTGAAATCACCAGGCTTCATAGATTTCTAATTAAAAGGTTTCCAGTTTATAAATTTCTACTTTAAAACCTGTCCAACCCAAAAGGCAACTTTTAGGGACAGAATGAAAAAAAAAAAGAAAGAAGAAAATTGGAAGGTATTATAAAAGAAGAAATCTAAGCCAGAATAACTATAAATATAGGGCATTACTTAGGTCCTCATTAAAGAATAAGTGAGATTTCCTGAGTTCCCACTTCATACTTATTGTCTATAGTATATACTCAGTATATGTTATATGTATATCAGATATACTGTCATATCAGATACTATATATTGTATGTATCCCTGTCTATCTATCCATCTATCTATCTGTCTCACAACAATTATGAAAACAGTGATTGCGATTGCCCTTCTCAGTTTGTAGGATCTGACAGATTCAGTTATTTGTGCAGAGAACAGTAGGCCACCAGTTCTACACAGGTCTTTGAGAAGCTATGCCCCATGCTCTTGCCACTCTTCCGTGCTGCTCATGACTGAGAAAGCATATCAGGAGCCCTTGGGACGTGAGTGTTTTTCAAACTTCATCAGGATGAAAGTTTTCTGAAGAAGAATTTGGTCCACCTTCTGTTTCTCCCCCAGCAAAACAATTACAACCCAAGCAGCCACCAAACAAAGACAGCCACTGTTTTATTTTTTAAATTTGTTCTTTCTAGATATATGTGACAGTAGAATATATTTTGACGTATCATATATACATAGAACAAGCATAACTTGTTCCAATTAGGAACCCATTATTGTGGTTGTATATGATGTGGAGTTACATTGGTTGTATATTCACATATAAGGATAGGAAAGATGCGTTTGATTCATTCTACTGTCTTTTCTATTCCCATTCAACCCCACTTCCCTTCATTCCCCCTTGTCTAGTCCAATGAACTTCTAATCTTCCCTTCCCTTGTTGTGGGTTAGCATCCACATATCAGAGAGAACATTCCGCCTTTGGTTTTTTGGGACTGGCTTACTTCATTTAATATGATATTCTCCAGTTCCATCCATTTACTGGCAAATGCCATTAGAAGTCCTTGGAGGACAGCACCTATTACTGACTCTGTAGCTCAAAACCCAACTCAACTCATCATTGTCCAACTCACCAATGGGCATAACTTCTTTAATGCATCCAAACTGTTCATGGATGAGCAAGGGGGAGCTGTAGTAACGCCGAAACCCCTTTGGCTGGAGAGAGAATAAGAAAGAGAGGGTCTTAATGTCATTGAAGAGATGGAGAAAATCACCTGAGTCCTAAAATTATAAAACCAGTTGGTGTCTCCCTTTAAGATGCTGACTTGTCCTATTAATTCTATAACTCACTGCTGAAAGGGGAGTGGGGAGGAGAAAAGATGGATGGCGATAAGCAAGTTATGCCCTATCTAGATCGCAATTTCCTGGCCGTGGCTTGACATCCTAATTCTTCTCCCCCTGCTATGTACTGCAGCTTCTGCTGTGTGCCATGTGCTCATTATCTCCCAGGACAAAGGATTGCTTTGCATTCTTTGACCACAGTTTATGATTGTGCTTTATTAAATTCATAAAGTCCTGGGCATAAGAAAGCAGACCCCAAGACCTAAAGGCATATCTGAAGAGTTTTCCTCAGAATCATCTTCTATTCTTTCTGGATTCTCTTCTGTGTTTGTGATCTCTCATCCGTGATCTTTGTCTTGGCTTGTGAGAATGATCACTGAAGAAGGAGAAGGGGAACAGGTGAAAGTGGAAGGGATTTGAGAAAAAAAAAAAAAAAGGACACTGCCAATCAAAGTAAGTGGATAAACTTTGTAAGAACCTGGACTTAGAACTCCCCGTGTTAGAAGGGAACTTGGTGACCTGGTTTCTACTAGAATCCTGAGATCTTCTCCCGTGTTCCTGGCAAGTGGTGTCCTCCTTTATCTGAGCACTGAAAATGACAGGAAGGTGACAGGAACATTCCCTAGCCCTGGAGGCAGGTCTTTGGTGATATTATATCTGAGTGTTAAGACGTGGCAACTATTGATACTAAGTCTTTTCCCTAAGCCAGAAAAGACAGTGGAACTATTATTCTATGTGATGGTCTTACATTTTTTGAAGACAGTTGTTAGGTTCCAGTGAATTATTTTCTATAGTAGATACCATTGGTATAATCTTTGGCCATCCTAGTTTCAAATACCCTCAGACATGCTCTGGGTTGCTTTTTATCAATGTGAGGCATCAGGACTGAAGCCCACACTCCTGAGATGGTAGGATCAGCTCAGAATGACAAGACCATCAGACCTTTCTTCATTTGGCTAACATGACTGTTAAAGTGGTGAAGACTATTATAGCTCTGTTTCAGTTTTGCTGGGGGTTGGCTGTAGACCTCTTTTGAAACTCACTGAGTTGATAGCCAATTAAGCTCTAGGGTAACTAACAAATGACATTAGTTTGCCTGGGACAGTGGGGTTCCTAGGATGCATGACTTCTACTTTGAAAAAAATCTGAACAGTCCCCGGATAAAGATTGCAATGCTAAAACTGAGAAAGTCCCAACCTGGGAAAAGACAGTCATTCTATTAAGGACCCTGACTCCCTCTAATGTACAGCATTTGTCTAGAGGGTTGACTTAGCTCCACTCTTCTTTATCTTTATGCTAACTAGGGAGCCAAGTGAGCAGGACAGGGATGCTGGGGTGACTTCAGAGCTAAAGAGGAGTTGGAGTTGGGGCAGGGAGTCTGGGGCTTCCTGTTGGCATGAGCCCTTACCAGCTTGCCCATGCACCGCTGGGGTGCTAGGCCGTCTGTGCACCTGTGGTGGATGCTCATCTTACAGGCTTTGCAGCGCAGTCCGTGTTTGGCATTTGTTCCTGTTAGGCACAGGGCAAACTTTGGTTAGGATACAGCCTATCCTTTCCTAGATACCCCTTTAAATTGCTGTAAAAGAGGTTCTTCCAATAACCAGGAAGTTCTTTCTGATGACTTTTCCACTCAACTTCCCAAATGAAAAAAAGACAATGGTAAATTCTTTAACTGTCTCCTACATTTTTCTACCTAAGTTATCTGCTCTGGTTTCTCTCCATTTCTTTTTCCTCTTAATTAAAACTAGCAAGATCTACTCTCCTTACTCTTTGTACAGGCCACCCGTTTTTACTTTTCTAGTTCTTGGTGAGTGGTGCAGGTCCTATTGTTTTACCCATTCTTGCTTGCCTTCCTGTCATAAGGTTTGAGGTCTTAGAAAAAACCTCAGGAAAATAACTGATACAGGGGAAATGGTAAAGTCTGTGTGAAAGGGGTGTTGATGGTCTCCTGCAATAGGGAGAGAGGACTCGATCAGATACCAGCCCCTGCCTGGTCATTTTAGTGCTGCACCAAAGCCCAAGGCTGAGGCAAGGAGAGGCACTGGGAGGCCAGACAGGTGTGTGGAGTGTGGGAGCTGTAGGAAGATGGCGTTCATGGATCAGAATGTGGCTGGCAAGGCTGGCACTCTGAAAGCTTGTCAGGAAAAGGGTGCATGAGGTCAAATGTTGTGCTAGCACCGATGAGGATTAAACAGATTTTTTGCCCAAGAAGACCACCTGGAGGGGCACTGGGTCTCTCTACTAAAATAGTCTCTAGGGTGGAGTTATCAAAGTGAATATGTCCATGTAATATGAGTTCTGGGTCCACAGGCAACCAACTAACTATGACAACTGACTCCAGATCCAAAATGAGGGTATCCCAAGATTAAAAATCCCACCTTTCCCCCCACCAATGTGCTCTCATCCCCTTCATATGTTTTTCCCCTTTTATAACTCAATGTATCTATAGTGGCCAGAGTGGCCTTTTTATCATATAATTTAGTCACTTCTTTCCTTTGCTTAAACATCTTTGAGCAGGTTCTTCTTGGCTTTCTGATGTCATACAAAATGTTCACTATGGTGGCAAAGCTTTGTGGTGGGAGCCCACCTTTGACTCTATCTCAGGCCAACCCCTCTGGTTCACTAGGTTTTAGTCATGTGGCCTTCTTTTAGTTTCTTGAGTGTGCAAACTCTTAAATTCCGAAAGGTTTGATACCTACAGCTCTGTTTGCCTGGGATGCTGTTTCTACCACTCTTCTCTTGGCTAAGTGACCCCTCATATTTGCATCTGTTGTATATTTTTTTCAATCAAGATTCCTTAAAAACATTTGTTCTTTCCAGCCTAAATTATCTTTTTCCTATTATCCTTCCTCCCAGAATGCTGTGGTTATCTTTTATAACATTTATCACTATTAATATTTACTTGAGAACTTGCTTCTGTCTTCCTTTCCCTCTGGACTGTCAACTCAATGAGGCTTAGGACCATGTCTGTTTATTTGCCTTTGTATATTTCACTCTGAGCCTGATGCCCAATAAACATACATTAAATCATTTTCTTTCTCTTTTTTTCTTGGTCCTGGGGATTGAACTCAGGGGTCCTCAACCCCTGAGCCACACCCCCAGCCCTTTTTTGTACTTTATTTAGAGACAGTGCATCACTGAGTTGCTCAGTGCTTCACCTTGCTGAGGCTGGCTTTGAACTCATGATCCTCTTGCCTTGGCCTCCCAAGCCGCTGGGATTACAGATGTGTGCCACTGGGCCTGGCTGCATTAAATAAATTAATGAAAAAATTCTTTCATAGTCACATATGCAGTGAAACAATGATGACTGGTGTGAGATAGTTATTGAAATTGATTCACCAGCAACATAGAAAAAGTATTCAAAAGCTAAATATCCAAAGACTAGAAGCCTCAAGGGTATGTTTGAATGATTTGCCCCAAGTCAGATTAGGTCTTGCCTACTTTCACTCTTGCACTGCTTGACCCAAATATTTCCTCTCCATCTGTTTAGCCAACATGGAGATAAAGTTGGGGTGAGTTCAATGATAAAAAAGGGAGTGCAAGGACCTGAAACTCACCTGGGAAAAGCAATGGGCAAACCTTTGAACTAGAAGTGATTTTGCAGGTGTTGCCTGAATTCTCCTTCTGGGAAGGCATTGTGTAATACAAAGCCTCTTTCTGCTGACAGAAAGCTGAGGTGACACATGCACACACCATAAATTATTGGGTATGTGTTCATAAATAGTGGTTGGAAAGTCCCTTTTCTTTTTGAGAATAATCACTTAGCAGAAAGAAACGGCTATGCTTTCAAAAGACGAGATGTGAAAAGTAATTACTTATTTTTTTTCATTTTCAAATGAGAGAATGCTATTTGTGCCCGATGTGGAAACTTAAGTAGAAACGTCAAAGATGAAAGTTGTTTCATTGTGTGCTAGACTCTGAAATAGTGTCATTATATATTAAGGTAAATTTTCCTTCAAACCCAAACACAATGATTTCGGTTTTCCATGTCTGTTCTCGTACACTCCCCTGTTTTGTATGAGTCAGACCACCAGCAATTATTTGGTTTTAGGTGTTTCAATTTCCACTGTGGAATAACAAAAGTGATTAAAGAGGAGAGCTTGTGCTCTGAAGTTCAGAGAATAGTTCAAAGGAATGATTCACATCACAGCAGTGACATTAGTTTACTCTAGCAAGACACAGAGAAGCCATGGTCTGACTTATTTTGTTACTTGTGACTTCCATTGCAAGTACATTGTATTATGTGTGCCTTAGGCTGGAGCAGAGAAGAAAAACTCAGTTTTAAATTTGAATATGTCTAGTACAGATTCTTTAAATTGTAAAAAAATCCCTGCGATATTTCTGGATCCTACACTATCTCATCACCAAATGGGAATAGTCTACGTACCATCAGAATTGCTAATAGAATACTGTCATGCTACAGATGCTCCTTGACTTATAATGGGGTTACATCCTAATAAATAAACTTATTATAAGTTGAAAATATTAAGTAAAAAATGCATGTGGTGCACTTGACCTACAGAAAAACATAGTTCAGTAGCATAGTACACTGAAGAATATTGGTTGTGACCATGTGGCAGATTGGGAGCTGTGCCTCACTGCTGCTGCTGCCCACAATCACAAGAATAATATGTAGTATATTATTAACAAGGCAAAAATATCAAATTTGATGTATTGTTTCTATTGAATGCATGTGGCTTTCACACCTTCACAAAATTGAAAATTTAGAAGTTGAGCTATAGTCAGGATCTCACTGCTGCTGCTGCCCACAATCAAAAGAATAATATATAGAGTAATACACACACACACACACACACACACACACACACACACATTAAAGGATTTAATAGGTTTAAATCCTAGAAATAAAGATTTCAGTGTACTTTGGGTAAAAAATGAAGAAATGGTGAACTGGTCAAAGAATTTCCCATTTAGTTATATCAAAACTTCACTAAAGCTAAAGTCAAGGTATTTTTTTAAAAATGGCATAAACTCCAAAGAACAAGTTTACTTAGAAGAGTAGTTAGTGTAGAAGTGAGTTCAACATACAGAGATAGAAAGCAATGGACAGTATAGTAAGCAGTTTAATAGAAGATAGCATTAGATTTCTCAAAGCAACTTGGAAACTAGAAGGCCATGGAACTTTGAAAACTGTCAAATTTCAAGATTCTGAGAGAAAATATTTTCCACCCCAGAATTTTATACCCAGCCAAATTATCAAACATAGGTGAAGGTTGAATAAATATGTATTTAGGATTTCAAAATGTTTACTTTACCCATGATCTTAAAGAAATTGCTGGATAATGTGCCTATTAAAAAATGAGGGAATAAATCAAAAAAGAGAAGAATATCAGATCTAGTGCACAACAGAGCTGACACAGAGGAGAGATAAATGATATCCCCATATCACAGCTCTGCAATAGGTGTAGACTGGAGCTGCAAGATAAAGTAAGGCAGTATGCTGAAAATAAAATGGGGGAGGGGACTTAAAAGTTTATTGATTATTTTGAGATTTGACTATTATAAAAGAACTTGGCATTTGAGAAATCTGTGGAAGCATTTGAAAAATGTACAGATGCATGAAAAAAATTCAGTAGGTAAAAAGGCAACTTCAATCTGAGGAAAATAAAATGTAAGAAAAGAAATGTAATCATAATGTAACACTTGAATTAGAAATTAACAGTAGTCATACATATGCATAAATTGACCATCTAGTTAGCACAAAATTATGATAAAAGTACTTGGGAAGAGGGAGCAAGGGGGCAAAGATTGTGATATAACTCTTTTGGAAAGGCCAGCACAAGGAAGGAAAGAATAAGAGATGGTGCTGGTGGTCTGAGAGCTGAATCTCTCTTTTATGGCAGGAAGACAATCAATGTTTGATTAATCAATAAATAGCAGCAGATCACAGCATTTAGAACTATTCACATAAATGCAAGGGGAAAAATTAGAAGTGAAAGTGGCTGCCTTTTAGAAGTGAATTTGAGATGGGACAGCTTCCATTTCAAGTACAACCTGTCTTGAAACTGTTCTTATATACTACTGTGACTAAATAAATAAATAAATAAATCTCTGGAAACAGGATCAAGTTGGCCCCTTGGAACCTTGGAATGATATGACTCCCAGCATATTAGATATAGGCAAAGCATGGGGCCAGTTATTACAAAGTCATCAGTTTTTCCCTTGAAATTTGAAGTTCTGGGTTAAAGCTAAGAGTTTCATGAGTTATGATTAAAATTATTGAGCATGTTAGTCATAATAGTCAAATGGAGTTTAAAATGGACCAATGCAAGTCAATAAGGTACCCATTAAGTGTCAGATTCTGAGCTTTTTCATGAACATGGTATATTGTTCACCACTATCAATAATGAGCTGTCCATAGAGAATCAAATGTTAAAGCTCTAGAACATGAAGTCTACACATATGCTGGGAGAAATTTTTGAAAAATTTTTTCTCAAGGCTGGTGACTGAATCTACTACATTAAATGACATACTCCTGTTTTCTTGTT